GACAAAAAAAAAAAACAATCATAAAAGTAAAATTCAGGTTATACTGAAAAAAAACAACAACTTGGCTGAAAGCCTGATTTATTTCCAGAGCTTTTAGGCTCTTTTACTCCTAGAGTGTAGATGAACAGTGGGAAGACACAATGAACTAGAATCAGCTGAACAAAGGTAGCATGGATGACAGCAAAAACAAAACTTATTGGACCGACGCAGAGAAGCCAAGTCATGCATAACTTTGAGCATATGTAAAGGGATTTCATTATCAACTCTGAGCCTCTCAGGAAGCCAGTGCAAGGACTCCAATACAGGGTTGATGTGATTACTTCAGCTTGACTAAAAGAGGATCTTAGCTGCCGAGATGCCATAACTTTATATTATAACTTTATAAAAATAACATTATAACAATGTAATAACTTCTTAAGATTACTTTTAGAAACTTGAAAGAAAGATATTATAATAATTATAATCAAATGGTAAAAAAAATACATTAATCAGTGCTTCCGTTACAAAACACAGCAAAGATCCAGCATGGTAATATTTCTCCCATAAATAAATTCAAAGTCTCGAGGTTAACTCAAAAGTTAATCCAGGATTGAAAACTATCCCCAGATTCTTCATTTTGTATTTAAATGCAAGGTTTTATATAACTTGATGGGAGGAACACAGTAACATGACTACAGTCTTATGACTATTAAGATGTTAATATTTGTGACATCCAGGTTTTTTATCAGAAATGCAGAGAGTACTAAAACAGCTACTTGGTATCAGGTTTAGTGTGGACATCCATTTAAGCAACTGCATAGAATTAGTCATTTAGTCCAAGGCACTTTAGTATTTTAGTATTTGATTAAAGGCCAGCATATAAATACTAAACACAATAGTTGGTGGCCCAGTATTGAGCCTTGTGACCAACCTAAAAAAAAACACCAAGAACTACCAAAAACAAAAAATGAAAATATTTTGAAAGTTAAAAATTTAAACCATTTGAGGGCAGTAACAAGCAAAATAGGAAGTAGAATGGCATGATTTACAGCACTGAGATCTAAGAGTGCTCTAATCTAAGTGCACCTGAATAAACTGCCATAAGGAGATGATTAGCTACTTTTACAAGAGCAGTTTCAGTGTAATGTATTTGTCTAAAGTTAGATTGAAAGGGTTCAAAAAGTGCGTTTACAGTCAGAGCATGTGTTGAAATCATTCCATAAAAGGCAAGTTAAATATGTATTGAAAATGTATTAGATTAATTAGATTATCCAAAGTCATATTAAACTTTTTATGCACTGGTATAACAACAGTGGTTTTCAAAGAAAACAGCACTATGCCAGAGGTCAGAGTGGCATTTATTATGTTAAACACCGGGGGGAAAGGACAGAGCAATAAGAGCAAATAAAACAAAGGGAATGAAATCCAGCAAAGAGGAGGCAGATTTAATCTGTGATACAAATTCAGCAAGGCATGCAGAACTGAACTGTAAAGTGAGAAAGAGGCGACCCAGCAAAAGCCGGGCATTCAAAGAGGTAGTGCAGTATTCGTTTTGCAAAGAAGAAAGAATCTTATGCAGATGTTAGCAAGCATAGTTGTGAAAACCTCTCACAGCAATGAGATGAAGTAGGCATTGTGACAAGATAATTAGGTATCTTTACTAGCAATTGAATAATAGGATTATTATTAAGATTATTCTTAACAGCTGGATCTTGCACTTGCTGCAGCACACTTATATTCAACCATGCAGTCCTCCCATGACTGAAGATGTGCACTCAAATCAGAAACTCACCACCTACACTCTGGTTTATGGGAAACTGCATTCACAGGGAGCAGGTGCTCAGTATACCAAGAAAAACAGCCAATACGCCTGAGTTTTAACACTGGCCTGGTTAAGTGCAATCAAATGAAAGTAATACAATCCTGTGTTCAGGGCATGAGATAATTTAAGGGAGGGTCATATTTACATCATCTACTTCAGTGTTTCCAAAAGTGACTGTTTGATAATGGATCTTAGTTAATTTAGGAATTCATTTATCTTTCCACCAAAGTGTGACTTTGGTCTCTTATAGCCTTATTTTTTCTATTTTCCACCAGTTTAAAATAACATACTTACATACAGATATTTGCCAGTTATAAAGTGTACAGTGCCAATGGACAAGGAAGGTGTACTATTCCAATTTCAGTATGAATATCCTGATACATATTCAATGGGTATTCCTACCACACTTATTGACAATTTTTTAATCTATTTTAGTATTTGCTAAATTCTTTAAAACAGGTTTCCAAAAATATGCATTTTTGTTTCTTGGGGAGCTAAGGATTTGCATCATGCTTTGATAACAAAGCAGATTGGAAGAGTCTCACCAGCCCATCTCTCACCGTTAAGGGCGCAGGAACACCTGGCTAATGTGTCCACAGACAATAATTAACAATTGACTCACTCCTGTGTTCAACAGACATTGCCACTCCTGCTATGTCTGTGTATGGCTATAAACTATGACCTTCCACTGGTGTGTAGGACATGGCACTAATTCAAACTCTAATCTAGGGCCTTTCATCTCTTGTGTTTCTGTCAGTTATGCATTGATCAATCAACAGGCAAGCCTTGCTTGTTATGAGAATCACATATTCACATGTTTTTCGTGAGACTACATGTTGCTCTGTGCCTATGCCCAGTGAAAACAAAACAACATACTGTATACTGGCTCTACAATGCTTTTCTGAGATGTCTATAATAGCTGTACAGTAATATAAGCAACATGAAACATTTATCAAATATTTACTATGAGTAATGAAACAACAAATGTAAATATGTAAAAGAAGCTTTATCTACAAAAAGTTTCAACTTGGTTGGTTCTAGTTAGTGCTCTAAAAGCAGAAAATGTGATCTTTGAAAGGAGGTAGCACCTGAGGGCTCAGCTCATCTTCATGCTGCTGCACGATGTACAACACTTTTTGAGACTCATGTCTGCATATTAATGATTTTAAATTAACTTCTAGAATGTTAAAAAGTCAAAAGAAACAGGACATGAAAAAAAACTGAAAACAGGTGTAGGTGAACATTCTCAAACTACAGGAGGTAGGCCTTCAGGGAGATGCATGTCTTATGGTAGAGAATTGGTTTATAAATGAAAAATAAAAGTACAGATAGGAGGTGTCCCGCCCAGGGTGTATTTTGCCTTGTACTCATTGTTTGCAGGATAGGCTCTGGCTTTGCCGCAATATTATACTGGATAAGGTTTTTAGACAATGGATGAATGATACTTAGCCATTGATGTTTAATGTAGACAAGTGCAGGGTATCACATGCCTGTAGCAAAACCATAAACTATAGATACAAAATGGGTACAATACCTACTGTAAAAGTAGTTACTTATCAAAAATACTTGACACATCATTTACCTCTTGTAAAAAATGTGGTGAAAATAAAATTCTAACAAAATGAATGGTCAAAAATGTAAACTTCATATCAAAGGCTGTTATGTTAGAAAACATATTTCTGTCTTTCTATATCAGTCCAGAGAAGAGTATTCAGAGGTATTGTGGGAGTCAAAGAAATATCCTACACTGACAGAATGGAAGCACTTTAGTCTTTAGAACAGAGAAGACAAACAGGACCTAACACAGTTATTCAAAATTCTCAAAAGCATTGACAAACTCAACTCAGTGGAATTCTTCAGGATCAATACTGAAACACAAACCAAAGAGAAAAAGGGGAAGCTACTGTATGTGAAAGTAAAAACTGAGTGTTACCAAAAGGTTTTGGGGAGAATGGAACAAGCTACCAAGACACACTGTCGAATCTGACAACCAGGCGTCTTTCATAAAATGAGATCCCTGGATCAATAACTATGAAACAGGCCAGAGACGTGTGTGTTTTTTTTTTTAATCAAATACAGTAGTAACACTATAACATGAAATCTACATCCAATAATTACCAGCACAGAGTAAATTTAAAGTACACTAACCCGTTTTTCTAAAAGAAGTCTCAAACAAAAGTGTTAATCCCACATATAAAGCTAATGGTTTTTTTCTACTATATTGTAATTTCCCTTAATTAGCATCGCTATTCTCCTTAAACCTCTGATAGGTAGGTTATCATGAGTTACAGATATGCACACTACTATAATCAGGTTTAATCAGATTGTAGTTATTATCATCACTATTTTCATCATTACAAATCTATTTTGCTGTTTTCTGGACCTGAAATGCAATTACACTGCTTATATAAATCTGACATGTATAAAAAATGCAATCAAAGAATTAAAATTTCCAATAAAAATAAACTCTCATCCCTTTTCATCACTCAATCAATAATGACTATTCAGCAACCAACAACCTAGATTTAATGAAAAGAAAAAAAAGCTATTGAAACAGTAAGAATGGAGTGGTCTGCGTCAAACATCAAATATTCAATTTTGCTAAGAATGTCTATAACTGAACTGAAGTGAGAACATGGTACTATTCATTCTAAATATTAACTTATTTCACTTTGTATGTTAACAACAGATTGATTTTGACCATGATAAATATTTATAAAAATCACAATTAACAGATTCTACCTTTTACAAAATCAAAAATTAATTTAAAGATTTTTAAGTTCTTTTTCTTGAATTATTTTTTCACCACTTCGTTCAAATACATTAAAAAAACCTTTGAATTTCCATTTCCATTTAACTCCTGTAATATAGGACACAGAGATAAAAGAGTAATTTAATTTGCATTTTATTTTCTATGCACTATATCTGTTCTGAACTAATACTTTGATACTGAACTGATTCTTTGGTTGTAAGTAGAAAAATGTATGTATATCTTTATAAAGCTCTGTTTTTTCAATTTATTCTAATACATTTTGACATTGCTTTACATAATAGTCTAAAAATGTACTTCTCTGAACTAAATTAAATCTACAGTATTTCTCCTACTGACACAGATACGAGGAGATATTTTTTCAGAGAGTCAGATGTGCATTAAATTGCTGTCTCTTTACCTAGCCTAGATTATTATAATAATTCTTACCTGTATTCCTCTTGGGTGAAGATTGGAATCACTGAAGGCTGCAGAACAGTAATTTCAACAAGGGTGCTGTTGGACTTTACAGGCTCCCCATCATCATAGGCTATAACAACCAGCTTAAAGAAATGCAGAATTTTTAGACTACTAAAACGTATAGTATAAAATGTATAGTACAGCAACATTGTAAAAACACCTTACTGTATATGAATTACCCTGCAAAATTTATATCAATAATAAAAAATCATCAGATAAGCTTAATGATGTTTTTATTCGTGCATATTGTACAAATTTGGTTTCCTGGTAGAATAATTTTGTACTCTGTTTTCCAACATCTATGTAGCTATATGAACATTTCTCTTTACCTCTTATCAGAAAATAAACCAACAGTGGAATTTATGTAGCAAAATAACTGAATTAAATTACATAAAATCAAAGGAAATTAAAATAATAACACTCACTTTGAAAGTTACACTGGGGTCTTCATTGAGGTTGACCCTTGTAATTACCCTTCCTGTGTTTTCCTCCACATCAAAGATACTGCCACTGTATGGAAACTGTCCTAAATCCACTCTGTATCGGACCCGGCTTGCTGGTGTGCCCTGTGAAATATAATACAATTTTATTGTAGGGAGCACTGAATTCATACTCGCATCACCCACAAGGTGTACTTTCAGGTATCTAATTTTAAATAGTTCAGGTGGGGAGCTGCGTCAGCACACATAGGCGGCAAACGAACAAGTAATAGGTTTATTCCATCCTGAAAAGAGAAGAAAGAAGAAGGTGTGAAGGTGTAAAGAATGTACCACGGCCAAAACGTTGTGTTTTCTTTCTTCTTTTCAGCACCGAATAAACCTATTACTTGTCATTTTAAATATGATACACATTCCATATTCACAAGCCTTCAAAAACAAATGACGGGGGTTCCTTCACACTTTTACCATCTGTGGCATCAGATCACACAGATCTCCTAGTATTGTGTACAAGGAGGCTGTGTCTTCTGAAAATGACAATATCAATTCAGAAAAGGATAAAAAATCTTGTTTTCCTCAAGTAAAACCTAAAATTAAAAAGATCAAGAACTTTCATGTAAAATGACACATGCCTTGAGATTAAATTTTGTTTCATTTGCACTGCTGAGATTGGTTTTAATCCTGTTGAACTTGCATCTCTCGTTTTTGCTCCTGTTCAGACACTATTGACATAAATTTGAAGTATCTGAGGCGGCGACCCTGCTGGAATTTACCAATAAAGCTTGTGTGATGTAGAGGTGTCAAAAAAGTGGCTCATGGCTGAAGATTCCCCTGAGGCACTGGGTTCAAATAAATCCTGCTGCTGACAGCATAAATGCAGCAGTAAACTGCCCTGGCTTCTCAGGGACTGTGTGAAATCTAACCGATAATTGATTTGCTTATTATGAAAGCTGTGTAAACACTAAATAAAAGAGATAGCTGAGTAAAGCTTTCAACAGAAAAAAAGATGCAGTCCTCTAAGATGCAGTATTTAAATAAACTAAAGACAAAACAGAAAATGGATAAGTCCTACAAATCTTGGATATTGTTTAACAGCTGGTGATTAAACACCCACCTCCCTATAAGTAAACACAACATTGGGCAGCAATAAACATATTACTCAGATTACTCAGAGTTTCTGAGATACAGCTGCATTATTTTAAAGCTCAAGCCTTCTTCTTATCATTCCTTTTCTGATGATCACAACTCACAAATGTTTGTGGTTTCTCCTCACTTTGTCCTGTCGTCATTGTGATACAGTAGCTTTATGATGGAAGGCCTTTTCATCTTAGTATTTTAGTTTGGACTTTAAAAACTTAAAAAATGTCTTGGTTGTGCCAAATTCAGAAGGATGTGTCAAAACTTTTTTTGCTGTTTCTTTTCTAAGGAGGAAAATTCAACAAAGCGCCAGCTATAAAAAAAAGCTTAGTGCTGGCTTTCTACACGTGTAAAATATGACAATTATTGAAAATGGAGAAAAAAAAAACATTTTAAAAACCATTTGTGTTACACCGTGGAAAACCAGGGACTGAGGCAGACGGGTTTCTCTGACATCTGCTCTTTACTGTACATAACTCGTAACTGACAAAAAACTGCAAAAACCCACCAAGGCCCCTAAGTGCCATAAAGCGGTTACCCCCAAATCAAAAGTGCAACAGCGTCGTACACCCCAGAGGGACGCTGTGTGCGACGTACAGTACCTGTAACATTTTGGGAGTTACTTTATACTGCCTTTTCAAATGCTAGATAATTTAAATCACATAAACAAGCAGAATTCCAAACATGATACTGTATATCTTATTTCTGAATACAGAAGTTTTGAGCAACTTCAGTTCAAGTTACTCATTTTACTTTTGCACTTTTTGGTAGTCAGATTTTACATTGCTTGATTTAAAAGTGCATTAAAGAAACCTTATGATGCATTTCATTCTACTTAATTTAAAATATTAACAATGCACATTTTGTATTTTCTGATGCTATTTTTTCACTATCTTATTAAGGCTATACAAAGGAGTTCACTTTTTCAGAAGCTGTATCTGTGTAAATGAAGCCAATTCAGAAACATCTCTCAGATGTTTCAGACTTGAAATGCTTCCACAGCCTAAAACAGAATTTAGATGTAAAGATGCATTAATTTAATGAAGCTTAGCATAATCTGAGGAAGCTGTTATTTTGAAAATGTTGTCATAGTCTATCCCATTATTTGAGTGCTATTCAATCATATAACACCTGACATAAGGCTCTTTTCATCACCCTTTAGCAATCTTTAATGTTAAAGATGAAAGGAAGTAATTAAAATCAAAACACATTTAATAATTTGGGTTATTTTCCCCTAACTTTCTAAAATGTATTTTCTAAATGTTAAAGCATGATTCAAGGGGAGCAGTAATGCTTATACACAAATGTCACAATAACGAGATATCTGAAGTAAAGCAGTACAAAAATGCACTGAATTGTATGCCTGCATCTTACCACATACACTGCATTTTATGGAAATTAGATAATAGAATTACTGCTTTAATTATAACAGCTTTATTATACCCTTGATCATTTGTTGTAGTTAAATAGCCATGTGGTTTGAGATTTCATAAAAGATTGTAATAATTATCTGGCATCCTAAAAGAGCATAAGGGAATTTTGAAATAGCCCAATGTGTGCAATTGTTTTATTTAAAATAAGGCATGATTTCTCTACAAAAGTATGCATAATAATGATAGTTATTATGAAAGTATTATAATAATGTTAATAAGTAGTTTGGTCTTTCTTCTTCTGCCAGCTAAGATATTTCTTTGCTACTTATAACAACAGTCATTAGTTTGAATTTTAACTTTAATAAAGGCAGAAAATTACAAATAAGAACCATTCTGATTAACCAATAGTTTCTTCACATTACTTTTGAAATGAGAATTACTTAGTAAACTGTTTATTTGCTGTTACAAGTATAGCTCTGTGGCATTCATATTGCGGAACCACCTTTTCAGCAGTCAACAATTTTTTGCTTTGTAGATTTTTTTAAAAGTCACATTATACAAAAAAAGCATTCTTTATAAAACTCTCTCAAGGTCAGAAAACAGAGATCATAAAAATTAAGTTTCACTGATGCAAGCTACATAATAGAACCAATGTATATACTGATCATGAAACATAATGGTTTGTTTCAATACATTAATTTTATTACTATTACTGTTAGTAAGAAGTTATAAACCTTGAAACATTATTAACAAAAATAATCAAAATGCTTTAGTAGTAATTCAGCTCTTAATATTGGAGGTCCAGTACTAGCAATTATGTTTATTATCACATATTTCATCTGTGAAATTTAAAGCATAATTGTGAAACTGGTCATTACCCTGTTAAAGCCATAAGAAGAACATCATCCAGTTTTGATCAATTTAACAGGAAGCAGAAACTTTCTGTAATAACGTGTTCTTGTGATATTAGGGCACACTGAAAAAGGCTTGGATGCTACAAATGTTCTCTAGATAAATCCCATGAAGTTGGAGATGTCTAAACACTTTGAAAGAGTTAGGGAATAAAGAATACCCTCTGAAATTAATTTCCCTGATGAGCAAAGACCAAAGGTTAGCTATTTTTAATTTCTAAACTGCTCCCAACATTCACTACTTTAGTCTCTTGTGGCACTTCATTCTACAGTAAATGTCAGACTTGGCAGTGAAATAAATAACTGTCAACTAGATGAAAAAGGCTGCTTTAGGATCACTCCAAATGTGGGATGATCATACTGCATACTGTCTGCAACTGCTGTTTAACCTGGTTTACTTAATTTAAGAAAAATATAATGGGTAAAGCTACTTTCTTTTGATTTATAGCCAGACATTGATATTAAGTGCTTACGCTGTCTTTGGTCTGTATCTCTAGCTTAAAGCCTAAAACAAATGCTTGAGAAACAAATATGACACACAAAAGGATAAGGACACAATGCAGTGCCTCCTGCTTATCATGAATGTTTCAGAGGAAATAGAACCACATGTAAATTCTGACCAGAAAATGGCTAAAAAAGTGAAGTAGATGCAATAAGAAGTATGATAAAGCATGTAAGCTGATCTAAAAATAATGGCTGTTCATAGTTCAAGGGTAGTTGTCTGCCTTTGTTAACCTTGACTTCAAATTAAGTATTTTCTGTATCAGTTGTCGGCGATTGGAGTATGCATTCCAGAAGGCCTCCCAATTAATTATAATGTTCACAAACATAGTTGGGAAAGCAAAGGGATCCAGTTGTGCTTTTTGATTCACACCAAATCTGGAAAGGTTCTCAGATTTACTGTAGCTCCGTAACTTGGGGTATGTTAATTTTCTAACTCTCCGTCCATTATAAGAATGCTACTTATTCCTTTGTTTAACCCACCCTGACTTTCTCCCAGCAGCACAGGGCACAAGGTTCCAAACTCAGGATCCAGCAGCTGTGAGGCTACAGAGCTACTGTAGCTGCCTCACCACCTTGCCTCTCATGTTATGCTTATTTTATTGCATTCAAAATACAAGACCAAAGGCTCCAAAACACACTGAACTTTTTAAACCACTCTGTATATTTATTTGTTTGTATATAATACATATAATTGTGAAATTATGACCGGCTCTGGGGAAAACTGTTCACGTCCCCAAGCAGGCACAATGCCAGTGTGGCTATTAAAGAATAGGCAGCTCTACAAGATGTCCTGGCACTGATGCCATCTAAAAATCTTTTGCAAAGTCTCAGGGCAAGAAAGGGCTTTACATTTTCTACTCACATGTGAGTAAGATAGAGAGGGCATACACTTGTCTGAAGAGCATGTGTTATTATTGCTAAGTAAGGATGTGCTAACCACAGAGTGCTGTGTTTGCTTTTCATTTTTCAATTAATTGCCTTGGAGCATGGGAGTTAATTTCAGATAAGCAAAATAAAAAAACAGCCTAAAGACAAGCACCTGAAGAATATGGAACATGGTGTATATAATTACAAACTAAATAAAATGGTGGTGCCTCATGATCAATGATAAATGTATTACTTTGAAAAAAAAGACCGGGATAGTAACCTTGCTCACTGTGTTATTTATGTTTTAAGTCTTGCTTTTATAAGGTTATTTGGGTAATTGCCAGTCAATGGAGGATAAATGTAAAGTTTATTACAAATACAAAGGTACAGTATATCATAAAACCTATAATGGTTTTGCATTCCTAATATGGCAAAATAAAATGTTTCCTCATGCTTACTTATTTGTAGCAAATAGAGCTACAAAAACTGAGGTATTTTCAATCAGATTGATACAAATATACAGTCACTATACAGAACTAATCTTAATCTTAGAGAAAATTCCAGATAACCTAATGATCTAGAACTGTAGAGCTTGCTCTGTCAAAAGGAAAGGATTTGTTCTACATTACCCTACAGTTTAAATGAACAAGATCAGTGCTTTACTAAAATTGGGTCTCTGTACCCAGTACATATCATAGGCTACCAAATATGTTTCATGGAATTCAAGCCTTAAATTCTCATATAGTGAAAATAGAATTAAAAGGAGCAGTTGGAGCTTGCTGGTAAAGCAAATAAACAAAGAGTTAGAGAGATATTGTGGTGCTACTGTTAGATGTTAATTATATTCTAATTATCACCCCAAAGTACATTTTTAAGGTATTGAAAATATCGTGGGAGGCATAACATCAAATTTACTTCAACACTAATAATGAAGAGCTACGGAAAATTGCAGGCTTTCATGTGAAACATTTTTTATAATATCATTCCATTTTCGCAAGAAGTGCTTCACTGATACTATGAACACCACAGCTTGTTTCAGGACTAGATGTTTTATCTAGGGAATCATTTTATCAAAATGGAAGCATAAATGCACACATTCATACATAAATTAAT